GCTCTAATGAAACTCTTACAATCCTAGCTGCCCCCCCATGTTTTTGATTAGCTTTAACTGTGGGCCCGAAACCGCCCGGGGGCCGGAGGTTTTTATTTTTTGGGGCGGGGGCTTTAATATCAGGGGGAAGGATTGAAAAGGAGGCTGGCAAGTTGCCACGAGCCCTGAGCCAGGTGTGGAAGGCTGACGGCGAACTGTGCCGACTTCTGCGCCATGAATCGAATCCCCAGGCGCGACTTCGAAGCTCACAGGCTTTTGTGGGGCGGGTGATGAGCTCAAAAGCCCAGGTATCACCTACGTGGCTAGAGAAGGATAATTTCAGGTTGTGGTCGGGCTGTCAGAGGCGAGCTGCGCCTTTGGCAGTCCTCACACCAATCAGTCTCAATACTTCTCTTTATTGCTTGGATGCCTGCCAGGGACGTTGCACTCCGATAACCTCAGTGGACTCGTCGGAGTCGCCAGTGGCTAAGACTATATATCAGAGAGGCCGAGGCACTAAGTCAGCGCTGCGACTGATGAGGTATGTGCATGAGACCGGCTTCTTGTTCTGCACTGCAGGCCAAACAGCACTGCATCCACCGGGGCACAGATGGCGTCCGGCCCTTAAAACTCGGCTCGGGCAGGTGATGATGTAGTGCACTTGAGCGTAGCCCGGAATCGTGAGCCTCACCTGACCAAAGGCATCTACCTATGTATCTATCCATCTATCCAGCTGCAGTCTGTATCTGTGCAGCTATCTAGCTATCTGATCTGTCTGGTCCATCTATCTGACTTATTTTCCTGATCGATCTCCGGCTACCAATCTGTCTATCTATCCATCCGCTCATTCACCGACATGTCTATCCATCAGTCCATCTACGTATTTGTTTGTCTGCATATCTCTATCTATATTTCTTTCTGTCTATCTGTCAACCAATCAATCTACGCCTCTATCTACCTTTGTATGCCATGCATGTTGTGTGTGTGTGTGTGCCTGTAAATAAACACACATGTGCATGTATGTGCGTATGTTGATAAATATGTATATATATATATATATATATATATATATATGCCTATACCTATATATATATATATATATACACATACAGATGATATATGCGTATACATATCCATATCCATATACACAAAGATAGACATATGCATAGACATAGGCATACATAAATATACATGTATATACATATCTGCATAATATACACATATATACATGTATTCACATATTCATATATACGTATACACACATATTCTTCCTACACTAGCATGCATGTCCATGCATACTGTGGTATATGTATCCGCATAAACAATACACATATTCACTCATACATATATCGTGGGCTGATTTATACATCGGTAGACAGCCAGTTCGACAGGTAGATTTGCCTGTGGATCAAGGCATATCAAGGCCACAGTGCGTTTGCGAAGCCAGAAGCTAGTTTCAGAGACCTGCCTCAGGTCATGCGACGTCTATGGCATCTGTGCTTTGTGGGACGTGGAAATGGGTTCCATGCAGCAGGCCTTCAACGTACGGCTGCCTTGAAAAACATGGAATTGTCAGCCACTGGTCGTGGTGCGGATGCTGCATCAAGTATCACGAAACCCAAGCGAAACAAGCAGAAGCCGATTCGCGATTCACTCGCGCAGGCCTTCGACTTGGGACAGCCTCTGACCGACGTGGCCTTCGGGCCAAACCGGCCTGAAGCTGAGACAATTTCCACAAGAGGATGTCCCTTCTACTTTGCTGGCTCCCATAGGTTCAAGTGACATCAGACATATATGCATGCCGACAAGCAAACGCGCAGCGGAAAACACATGATTGTATCTGTCTATCTGTCTATGTCCATCCATCCTTCTATCTACATGTACGTGCATTTTAAGTGTGTATTTACACATACATATATGTATGTACATATATGCATATGGTGCATTCACACACAGTTGCAAGTGACTCAAAAGTTGGTCAGTTAGTTATTTCTAGCTGTGCGTGCTGTTAGGCTGCTGGCTGCAACCGGCGAGAAGGGTGACTGCTTTCTCATGGACCCCAGACAGTCACAGGTGCACCAATCCTGCTTGATTCGCGCTGCTGATGGGCATGCGATTCCCTCTGATGATGATGATTCTTGCAGAAGTGATTGCGCTACGAGGGATGCCTGTTTGGGATGGTAGCTGCTTGATTGCCATGCATTCCGGAGCTCATGTGGTCAATTTCAACATGGCTTGTACCGAAGATGCTGCAAGCGGATCACTGACCCAAAACTTGCATCGTAAGAATGAAGCCATTGCCGTCCACCGGCATCCTGGTAGTTGTTGTAGTCCCTGTATCGATGGACACTCTTTGTTGGGATTGCTGAAGTCCCGCAATCAGGGCTTGCAAGGCCTTACTGTATGATCTTCGTAATTCTGCTTCTGTGGCTCTTTGCATCGCCCTTATCTGACTTCCGCCAGGAGGTCGCAGCTTTTGCGCCCTCCGAGCGCGTGGTTGGACCTGCTCGAATAGCCTGGGGCGCCAGGAGCCCAAGTGGCTTCTGGCAGCATCCGGACTTTGAGGATTACTAGGCTGCCACATCTGCCGCAGTCAGTAGCTCAAATCGTGCGCGCTTCAATACGACGTATAGGGCACCTCAATTCAAGTCTTTGCTGTCCGGCCTTCGTCATAAGATGGATCTGATAAGTCGGCGCGGGACAGAAGCTCTTCATCTTTGCAGCTTTTCATGTAGCTTTAGCAAGCGCTGCTGACTTGGGTTTTGCACCGTCATTCAGCACATTCATTGTGGCTGACGACGATAGCGGTGAGAACGATGACCATGTTCCCGACAACTGGCAAGCAAAGCTCGCAATCCTGACTTTGGTTGTGGTCATTTTAATCAAGAGATGGAAGTCAGTACCTTTCAACAGCAGGCGGCCAAAACGAGCCTAGATTCGACCCATGCACAAAGTGCAGGCAAATAGCTGATCAAAAGACAGTTCGAATGCACATTTGGACGGAGCTCACTCGCTTCGCTTCATGAAGCGCTTCTGGACATGTCGGCCATGGGCCTTTTCAGCTGTGGCACCTGTTGGCCTGACGACGCTTGGCTTGCCTTAGGATAACTAGGCGGGCTGTTGCTTGACATGCGGTTAGGGTGGCTTAGGATGTTCCAGGTCCGAGTCATGATCACCAAAGCCTGAAGCTCCAGCTTGGAGTAGGCTTTTCCACTCAGGGCCAGCATGGACCCGATGCGGTACAGCTGCTATGATTCTTAGCGTCCCAAGCCGCTTCGTCATGTCTATAAATCCCAAACCTGATAGACTGGACGATCTCCAGCCTGACTTCACGCACTCTCTGCGCAACTGGCAAGGGCGCGTCGGTCATTTGCCGCCTCGACGGCTTCCAAGCGGCCGACTCACAGAAGCAAACAAGGGGAATTCAGGGAGCTGCTTTGAGATGGCCCCGCGCTGGAAGTCTGAAAGGACCTCAGGCCTCTACCGCTTAGATGATTTGCCAGTATCCTTCACGGCGGCAGCTGCTGGTTTTGGTGTCCAGGCGTGTTACTATGGTTCTGGTTGTCTTCATTGATCGTCGTTGTGACTTTTGCTGAGTCTTGTTGTTGCTGTTGCTTGTGGGTGGTGCTGGTTGTTGTTCGTTGTTGCGTTTCATGCGATGATAACACGCTCATGCTGCTACTGCTGCAGATGCTGCAAATGCGTTTGATCGTTACTGGTGACGTCTTTCGATCGAGAAGGCTGCGAGAACGCTTCTATCAGAGTGAAGCTCAATAGCAACCGCATGATTGTGCGTCCTGCCGCTACTCCTGTCGTTGTCCAGGAGCGCTGCTATGATTCTTCTTAGCTTGGTGGATGTCGTGTGAGGTCTGCACACTTGCTTCGGCAAACGATTGCTCCGAAGATGCTAGCGGCTTGGAGCCGGGAAGCTAAGGAATGGGTTGAGCCAGGCAGCTTGGGCAGGGCTTAGTGTCGGGGTTGGGAATCTCACCTCCCTCTCCGATGCCTGAGGGTCGTCAACATCTGACTGCGTCAATCTTTTTCTTCCTTGACCAACACAAGCTTCCCTGAATCCCACACCCACTCCCGTGTGAGTTCAGATACGCTGATACGAGCTGTTTGTGTGAATGTGTGTGGAGGTGAAATCTCTCCTCGCAGTCGCTTCCGGGAAGGGCGGTGTGGGCAAGAGCTCTGCAGCTGGGCAAGTTGGATGGCGCCATGAAGGGTTAATGATGAAGGTTGCTTTCCCAAGCTTTCGGGTATCTTCGCACATAGGGCTGGGAGTTACCCTAAACCCTTAAACCCTGAACCCTAAACCCTATAAGGCTGAGAGGTGCCCTTTTTTTGAGGTTGGGGGTGAACTGGGCCTGCCCTGAGCTCCGGAGCTGCCGCCCGACAAATTCCTTTTCGGAGGAGCTCAAGGTCGACACGCGTCAGCTATTCTGGGTTCCTGTTAAGGGATTTCAGGGATCTAGTTTAAGTTACCAGAGTAAGGAAGCCATATTATTTACTATAGATTGCTATGATGGTAACTATGACATTAGATTCTTTAACAAGAGCTCAGTATTGTCCCCACGTCCAGCCGAATCCACGCAGTTCCGTCTTCGGCTGCATACTGGGCCTGTGAAGCACTGGCGCACGCTGGTTTTGCAGAGATCATAACCAGCCGGCCATGAGCCTTTCATTTCCTCCATACTAAACCCTGCACACCGCAACATCAATCCGAAACTCTAGCCTAAACCTCCAGACTCCCGGCTCCCCCCCCAGGTATGTGTCAACCTGGCCTACACCATGAAGTCCTTGGGGCTCAAGGCCCGATCTTCGCCCGCGGGACTGAGTGAATTCAGGGCATCGGGCTTCAGGGACTAGGGCAGCCTAGGTTTCTGCAAGAAAGCCAACCAAAGGAAGGTATGTTACGTAGTCTCAAGGACTCGGATGCTCCTGCAAACCCGAATTACCCAACCTTGACTTCACAGGTCGGGATTCTGGATGCTGATATATACGGGCCTTCACTGCCAGCAATGATCCCACCAGATGCGATCGAGAAGGCCGCTTGTGCTTTTTTGGCGAGCCGGCGGCAGGCTTCAGTTTGGGAATCACGGCTTGCACCACACGAAAGCAGGGTTCCCGGACGGGGCTGCCAGGCTGTGAGCTTGGCATTGAGGCAGTCCCTCGTGGGCGTGTGGCAATGTCGCAACACATCAAAAATAAAAGAGGAACGCAAAAGCTAGGAGGCTGAATGCCGCCAGAGGGCCCCGGAGGCAGCTGCGCAGTCCCAAAGTGCACTCACTGGATTCAGGGTGTCGCCTGTTCTGGTGATTTTAGACTCGGTGAACTCCGGCAGTGACGCACAACACAGGGAAGTCGAAGTTCACTGCGAACATCCTCTACCCCCTAAGCCCTGAATCCCTGGAGCCCTCAACCTCAGACACCCCTCAAGCCAGATCCTTAAAATCTCTGGGCACATGCCCAGTTTGCAGGTCTATGCCTCGGAGAGCGGGGGCTGCTCGGCTCGAAACTGCATAGTACTTTGGCCCTTAGGCTGGCAGAGGTGAAGTCTACGTCCGGGTTGAAGGGATGGTCCAAGCACTCGTGCAGTTGGTTTGTGGTGATCATGATGATGGTGAGAGCGGTGGCAGCTTTGCATCGCTTCTACAATGGCACACTGATCATGACACCTCTGCTGCGGCTACACTGAATGAGTGTCCTCCAGTCTGACAAGCCTCCGATACTCTCATGTCGTTGTTGGGCGCACCCTACAACTCCTGAGTTGATTGCCTTGAGTGACGATGTGCTGCCCGATTGAGGGCGTCATTGTACTCAACAGGGTTCGGGCATCGGACATGCGCACTAAGCTGGGTAGAGCCTCTCCAAACTTCGGCAGCAAGGCATCATCCCTCTGCAGTACGAAGGCCAGTTGATTGCATGCAATAGAGTGAGCTGAGCAGTGAATGCAAGGCGCGCAGAACTCCGCTCGATGAAGTTTGTTCAGATTATGCAGCTCAGGAGCGGTTACAGGTAAGCAGTGCCAGTGGCGAAACTGATCGGGCAAGCATGAGCTTCGATGTTGCAAAGCGCCAGCAACATGCCGAAGCACTTGCACCGGCCTCCAACCGTTCGGCGTCCAATGGCATACGAGACTCCTAGATCAATATACTGCCAGCTGGACTGTCGGCTTTCAGCGCAGGTGCACCTTTGATGTCGGCTGGCTTCCTCCGGCCAGGCACGGAAACGCATGGCCTCGCAGTGTGTATTACGTGACTAATGATGCTTGCAGCAATGCCTTGAGTAACAGCAGCTGCAGCAGAATTAACAGCGGGAAACAGCGGCGGCGCAGGAGTAGCAGCAGTATTGGTACTGTTGATGCCCCAAATCCTGCATGACTTAGACCATCGCACATGACATATCAATATCTCACGTCGCACTGTCCTGAAATTTCCCCGCAACCCCTTAGTTTCAATTTTGCCTTCCATGCGGTCATGCAAGATTTTGGGCACTCGCGCAGGCCTTGGTTTTCATCCCTGCATCAATGCAATGTTCAAACTAGCGGTAGCCGGGGAGCCGTGGGGATAGTAGTAGTCGTAGTCGTAAGTACGAGTAGTGGTAGTCGTAAGTGGTAGTCGTAGTAGTAAGTAGCGGTCGTACTAGTAGCAGCGAAGTAGTAGCAGCAGCAGTAGTCGTCGTGGTGGTGGTGGTGGTGGTGGTGGTGGTGGTAGTGGTAGTGGTAGTGGTAGTACTGGTAGCAGTAGTAGTTGCAGCCGTACGATTAGAAGTCGTCTTCGGTATCGTCGTTGTAGCGGTATCGATAATGGTGCTGGGACTTGTAATTGTACTTGGAGTAGGTCTTGGGGGGCAGTGTCAAACGCAGAAGAAGTAGCTGAGAAATGAGGACATATGGTGCACCATATATTGCCACATGCTGGAGAGCTTCTTGCCTTCGCACGGAGGCGACTTCGCGGCGGTGCGCGGGCCAATGGCCTCCGCCATGGTCCAGCAGATGCTGACAACAACGGAGTGGTCCCAGCGAAAATTGGTGTTGGATTGATTGTATAGTCATCATATTATTATGAATGTTGAATGGTAATATTGTTAATTATTATATTGCTAATTCTTTGTTGTTATGGTTATTAAAAGTTGCTATTATTATGGGATCAGTTTGGATCTGATAACCTTTTGTGCTTTCTGTCATCAGTGGCCACTCAGGCAGGCATCAGTTCGCACGTCCTGTAGCAGTTTGGTCATTCCCACACGCGTACTCGCATATTGTAGTTTCCAAGAACAGGCCTGCCGTGAAGTAAAGCTTGGCCGATCATTCAAGCATGCAGATTCAGGTCGTCATTCAAACAGATTCTAATACACACCCAAGGCCCAAGACAGTTGCTTCTGGTTTGACATCGGAAATGCAAGCCTCGAATCGGTATCTTAGACTCGGCTAGCATGTTAAACGCATGTCCCGATGTCAAGACCAGGGAAACACCTTGTGCTAACAAAACCTGTAACCCAAGCGGCTGCAACAATTGTCCATCGGATTGTTCTTACTTGTCGAGTAACTTTGCTGCTCTTGGTGATTTCATCGCCACTGTTGCATTGGTGATGTTACTATCATACTGGCAATTCTGGTGCCTTATCTGCTTGCGAAGCCTGTTCGTTCAATGCAGATGCCCTCAGTTGTCGCTGTCGCCCCATCAAACAGGAGTATCTGTAGTCGAACTATGGATCTGCAAGTCTTCGAGTCTTCTACTTGTGCCCTGACAATGCCTGACAATGCAGCCTGACGTTTTCAGTTCCAGCCGTGCGCGGTAGTACGGATTGATGCACTAAATGCTAAGATACAACAAGGTTGACAGTCGTCACACGCCTACCGAAGCAGCCCAAGCATGCAACTTGAAGGATAGTCTATTATCTGATCTGTAGCCCCAAAACGACCCTGGACAATTAGGTGGGGCGACCTCGACGTACTGCTAATTGACATGCCACCGGGCACCGGCGACATCCACCTCACTGTGGCACAGCAGGCTCTTTGCAACGCTAGAATTGCGAAATCGTGCTCGGGTGTTGTTCAGGGTCTTAACGGAACTCGCCAGCGTTTGGGTTTGGCAGTTGCTGGCCTACGGTCGCCATCCGCAGCCATCCGCACACACCGTTTCAAGAAGCACCTGGTTTAAGAAGGCTTTCTGCATCGCAAGAATCGACGAGACACGAGGTGAACAAGAATCGTTGAAATTTCCTTTCCCAAAACTGGAAGGCTTGACCTGGATCCGGTCTTTCACGGCCCTTGACAGGCCAAGGTTGATGCGGCAATTGTCGTGACTACGCCGCAAGTGCTTAGCCTCGTCGATGTGGAGAAGGGCATCCGCCGCCTGGCTGGCTGAGGTTTGTCAGTTTGGAACGTCAGTTCAGGTCGAGGCACGGTACGACATTGTTATGTCTGCTGCTCAAGCTTCGTTGCCAACGGCAGTGGCGTTTCTCCATAGAGAGGCTGCTAAAGGTTGGTTTGAGGTCTCGGTCGGAAGTTCAATCCCCGTTTTAAGATATGCCGTATGATATGAGAGTTGAAACTTTCAGTCTTAGAGTCATCGTAAGTAGCTAGAAGCGATTTACTAGTGCACCTGCGCAGGATTATTTGTATGTGTGCTTGTTCGCTGGTTTGGATTCGTTGTTTCTGTGTTTGTCGTCCGTGTGTGAGACAGCTGCGTTGCTCGAGCAATGCTTGCTTGGGTTGCAGATGCAGAGTGTTGGTGTTGGTCGGGCATGATGTATCGGTGACCTTGGCACAGACACCCAAGACAGAACGAGACAAGCAGATTCTGCACTTGGCCGCTTGTCAGCTCTCATCTCTGAGCTGAGGCATGTTCGACCAGGCGACTTCGGTCAAAGCTTGCTGAACCATGGTAACAAAGCACATCTTGAACAGACTCTTCCGTGGGCAGGTCAAGATCCCTACCGTTGCCATCGTCGAGAACATGTCCTTCTTCGTCTGTAGCAGCTGTGGCGCGCAGCATGAGGTGTTCCAGCGCGGTGCTGGTGAGCCTCGGCTCAAGGGCTTTCAGCTCTAATCCTCCCCCCCCGCAAAGGTGCTAGCGTTTGGTTCACACATCTTCGGTGCAAGGTTCTACTGTAGGTTCTAGGTAGGTCTTGGTGAGGATTTTCTTGAGCTGTCTGGGCAAGCTGTGCCAATGGAATGGCCGCAATCCAAATCTGCTGAGAGGTTGCTTGTCGAAAACGGTAGGCTGCAACTGTGAGGAAAAGCTGGCGGAAGATTTCGGCATCCAGCGCGTGTTCCGATTCCCTCTGGACTCCGCGCTGTCGCGGCCAGGACCCGCAAGCTTCACTGAACTCTTGGTGTGAAGGTCTGTAGCTGCCCGAGTCCCCGGCTCATTCAGCTATTGGCTGGTCGGAATGATGGCTACATCTGGTCGCTGCGTCAGATGCCTTTCCCAAAACCTGCTGTCTCGCCTGCGATGCTGTTGCCTTGCAGGGGCACGGCCCAGCATGTCACCGTTTCAACCAAAACAGGCAACTCTTCCGATGAACGGGCAGGACATCGTCCTGCCCGTTCTCCCGATTGCCCACATTGTTCGTCGTGTGCTCTGTGAAATCCTATACGTTCGTTCCACCAAACCCATGCTGATCTCACTTTCAGGACGGGGTCAGACAGTTGATAATGGACGCGCGTTCATCACGTAAGCGCACTGGCGGCTACATGCTAATCTCAAGGTACCCCAATGCGAGCATCAAGCAACGGTCCGCTTCTGTCATTTCTGGAGCCAGGGGCCGGATGGCTCGGGATGCTGAGGGTTTCATGTCATGGACTCTGTGTCCCTGGAGGACTTCCCTACGTTCTGGCTGCATCTGAAGGTGGGAGCATTGACGAGTTGCTCGGATCGTGTATATAGGATAGAGGGGCAATACTTGCAAGTACGCCATGAGATGAAAGCGAAACTCCTTCGCTGCGCTGTTGTATCACACGTCTCAAGAAAGTCCCACACTCCAATAACAAAAAACACAAAGCACCTTATTTAGAATGTAAGACAAGAAAGAGCCCGACAGATGTCTGCACTTCCCCGCTGAGATTCCGGCGCTTGGCTTCCGGGGCCGTGGCAGCCCTGGAGGAGCTCCGGACACGCTTCCAACCAGGCCTTCGCCTGGAGGTCAACGGTGCCCTTCTGATCCTGAAGACTTCCGAGACTCAGGATCAGAAGGGTGGTTGCGGCGTCGTGCCTTAAGGCCGTCTTTTGTTGGGATCTCTGTCAGCTTTGAGATGTTGGGGTTCATAGAGGTTCCCCTGAAGAGGAGATGGCGATTCCGGCACGGGAGGTGCTTCTGGAGTGTCGGTCGGCCAAGATGCGGGACGAGTTCACCGGAAAGCGACTTTTCCGGGAGGAGGACATACCACAGAATGTCGTTGCAACCAAAGTGAGCACTGCCGGCCGGTACGCTGTGAATATCGATTGGTCCAACAGCCACAAGTCGCTGTTCTCTTATGACCTCCTGGCGCAAGTCGCCGAGGCTTCTGGTCAAGTTTGGCATGCGGCCACTGCTTCCGAGTGACCGAAAAATCCCTGGCCCTGGGGCCTCTACGGCCGCTGCTACTTAGACTTAGACTTCGGCCTCCGCCCCCCCCCCTTACTTTACTGTCTGAGGCTTTGGGAGTACCTAGGAGAGTTGAAAGTTTGGCGCCCTGGCAACAATGTGACAAAGGCCCACCGGCCGGACATGCTGGCCGTGTCCTGGCAAGGGGAGGCCGAACGGTTGCTTCTGCACTATGTCGGGTTCTCGATGGAGGTTCGTAAGAGTCAGTCAGTGAATATTCGTAATATTCGGATACTGCCACTTGCCCTGCACCGAGTCCCGAGGCGTAGTTTTCCCTGTGTCCACAACTTGAAGACCCAGTCCTACACAATTAAAGTCGTTGGTGGATGGGCTTGCGCATGGATTTCTCCATTCCCGGAACAGACTTCAGCACAAAGCTACGAGCGACTCGCGCTAGGGTGGCCTGACGCTCTACGATGTGGCACGGCAGCGGAAGGCTCGAGCTTTGCTTTTGTGCAGCAGTCGACCGGGTTAGTTTCAGCGACATACTTGTAACTTGTACCTGATTAGTATTTCAGGTCGGGACTCTAGGTGAACTGGGGCTCGGACAGTCAAAGATGGAGCTTCCTCGGGCCTTCCGGTACAGATGTCGGATTTTTTGGACAAGAGATTTTCATTGGTGGTCCAGAGATCGGCCCGTTGAGAAGCAAGAGCTCTACCTCGACCCGCTAGCAAAGCGCTTCCGCATGATAGTTTGGCTGAACAGTGAACACATTGCATGCTGTGTAGACACATCGACCGTGAGTTATATCTCCAAGAACCTGCAACGTGAGGCAGCACCTCGCTGCGTCAAGTCTCCGCAGCCTTCCACCATCGCCAGCCTTCAGTGGAGCTACGCTTTCCCAGAGTACCGGCCTCGACGGTAGAGAGTGGCAAAGCTGAGTAGAGGATCCGACGCTCTCTAGCCCGAGGTTTCTCCATTCTGCTAGTTCCGTAAGGTTCCTGCTGGAAGTCTTCCCTCACATGCCGTGCTGCCCAGAAAAAGAAGTTGGGATGTCTCAGGATCTTATAATATAGGAGCCTCAATAATAGAATAGTTAGGGTTCAGGGGCCCATCATTCTGACTTATACTGTTTCTATGACAAGGAAACACCAAAAGAGTACAGGTAGTTATTTAGGCCCCTATATCTCATTATGTTCCATGGCCGAAGAGTATCCCTTCCGATCTTCAAGGCTTCTTGCCTGCGCCCGGGAAGCTGGCGACGTGGAGGACAGCAGGGCATCCCTTTAAGTGGGTGGTAGGGGAGACTGAGAATCTGCTTCTACCTGTGGCTCGGAAGTCTCCATGGACTTTGGTGGCTCGTAGAAGTTACATAGCAGCTCTCTTGTACCTCCCGCGTTGACGCTGCACAAGTTATTATGCGTGATGATGTGAACTGCCACTCTTCTCAGTGTACCGTATTCAGAAGAACAAGATGCTTGCACGAACACAGCCACAGGGTCAGCGCAACGGCTGCACCTGCGGTGGGGCTGCCTGCACTGGAGTAGGGCGAAGAGCAGCCACCCAAGACTGGACACGCAGGTGTGGCATTTCCCTGAAGAGGGAGTGGAAATGGCAGCGGCAGCCAACGCCTCAAGAAGGGCCATGCGAGACTTAAAGACCATTCTGATAAAATGGGAATCCTCCAGCCGGAGAGGAAGATCGAGTGCAAAGATCCGAGCCTCCGGGGTCACTTTTCGCGTGGCACCAGTTCTGACGGCATGACAGGGTGAGAACATCGCTGAGACTGCGCAGCTGACTGCTGATGTTGTAGGCGGCATATTACTCAAGTTACAGAGCTCTGATGGCGTTCTTTTCCTAGGCCTCCGCTCCTGCCTACACGTGGGCACCTCGGGGAAGGGCGGCCAACTGCAGTGCGCTGGCGATGAGCCCGGAGGCTGCGTCACGTCTGATGGGGTCTCGGCTCGGATCATAATGGCTGGAATTCCGAAGTCAGCTCATACATCATATACCCTTGACAGGATTCCATGGGTGGCTTCTCGGGGGCAGGGTTGAGGAGGAGTGCTGAAGCCAGCATAAGACTCCTGACCTAAAGTCTTCGAAAAATTCTTTACAACCCATATTTTCTGGCTCCTTCATCCACTTGGCCTGACACCATCTGAAACCCAAACTCCCTACACGCTGCGAACCATTCACTGGCAAACCCCTAAACCCTAAACCCCTAAACCCGAACCCCTAACCTCTAAAGCTTAAACCCTAACCACTAAACCCTTGAACCCGAACCCCTAAACCCGAAAACCGTAAACCCTAAGAAGCAGGTCCGGCCGGGCAGTCATGCCCTGGTATTGGCCACGATGCCTCCAGGGCAACCGGGGCCACAGGGCCAGGAGGCCGGTGGCTCATATAGGGAGTTACCAAGACTAGTGTGAGGGTTCCTTAGTATGGTTATAGGATGATGTACCCCAAAACCCTATTCTAATTATTGAGGCCCCTATATTGTCAGCTTTGGCATTTCAGCTTGCTGCTCCTGCTGCTACTTCTGCTGCTTCTTCTGCTACTGTTACTATACCAAGCGATAATGGCGCTCTTACTGGCACTAGTACTGTAGTGCTGGCAGAAGCTACAGCAGATGCAGCTGGCTCATTCTGACGGTCAGGATGAGGGTCAGGGGACTCCCGCGACCATCCGGATTTGCCTACACTTCACAGAGCAGTAGGTGGCGGGCTGCGTGGACCCATCTGTCTGATCAACCACCATGATTCACTTACTTCCTGGTGCAGTTGTGATTGTGTGACGGCCAGCACCATCCTGTTGTACTGAAGCTTCAACAATCATTCTACGGCCACGACGCACCTACGTAAATCCAGCGTGGCAGCTGGAAGACAGCCCGTAGACATGCCAAGTTGTCGGCGAAGTCTATTCACATCAAATTTAACCCATGTCGCCGAACTTATAAGGCTCCTACATGCCCTGGTCGATTCGATCCCCAAGCCCCCTTCAAGTCTAGATGCTAGAGACCCGCCGCACACTTCCTGCGAATCTGGAAAGCGCTATGTTTCTCCCCCGAAACGAGGCCTTCAACAAACAAAGCCCCAAAGACCTTACTTAAACTCTGTAAGCTTTATCCAGTTAATTCCCCCAACTTAGCTTTCGAGGCGACCACCTCCGGCGGTTCCCTTTGGGTCGTGGCACTGCCTCAGCCGACCCGGCGGCCGGCGCGCCTGAGCCCAGGTGAGCTGCTTAACGCTGTGCTGCGCTTCTTCACCGATGCGCACGCATTTCCGTGTATGTATACATGTAATTATGTATGTATGCAATGTGTATATATATATATATATGTATTATGTATGTATGTATGTATGTATGTATGTATGTGTGTATATATAAATATAAATATATATATATATATGTACACATACGGCATGGTGATTCTGGAGAACCCGAATGGACTGATGCGTGGGCGGCTTCTGACTGTTGGGATTTAGTTTCACCTTGCTTTCGGGAGCGGTGCAGGACGATTGCCGCAATTTTCCTTCGAGTGTTGTTGGTTGGAACTCCTGCATTGAAGCATCAGAGATTTGACCCGACGTAGTGTTCAAGAGCCGGTTTGCACTTGTGTGTGCTGCTCAACCTTGGAAAGTAGCACCAGAGCCGAGCACCCAGTCTCGCTTGTTGTCTTGGGACTCGAATTCCAAGCTCGGCACATAGTTTGCCGCCAAAGATCCTTCCATGCCAGTCCGCATCTCTTCAATAACAATCTCCCACAGCACCCTTACATACCTTTACTCTCATAGAATCTTCAACTGTATAGTAACTATCATAGTAACCCTGATGGTAGCCCTAAGCTTCAGAGCTTGCCAGGCGATCTCCTGCAGTCTGGGCCAAGCATGGCCCAGGCACGCATCAGGGAGCAGTTAGAGATCCGCAGGATGCGAGCTTCTGGTGCATAAGATGTCGGGGCCCTTCGGGGGTATACGGGAGGGGGGGTATGGTACTGTACTTCCTTATGAGAATCCTTGCGAATACGATTTGGGGCCGGAATAATTGCCGATCATGTTCCTTAGGTTTCCTTAGTGCAACATCCGCAAAATCCTGCTCCAATCAAAAATGCCCCTAGTACAGTACCAGTTATGGGTGGACAAGAGTGTGGAAGCTTTCAAGCGTGTCCTTGGGGTCGCTCTCGGCAGTGGTGATCCTCCCTTAACTTCCCATCTACGCACCAAGTCCCATCGTACGTATTGCTTGAACCGGATTGCAAGATGCCTCTCTGCATTAGTGGTGCTTTTTGAATTCCAACATTTGGCACCTCTTTTCTTCCCGACGCGTCTTGCACAGCACACCGACGATCGTCATATTCCTCGTTCTGGTGGAGTCTAGTGCTGCTGCAACTGCCAATCCATGAATTGGAGTATCTGGACATTTTCTGACGACAGCGTGACATGACCCGACAGCCTGAACCTCGAAGTTTTACTTAGACCTGTGAACCCTCAACCCTTACCCTCCTAAACCCCAAGTGCAACTATACATAAGCTGGCTCCTCGCTGTCCGCGCTGCTGACCTTTTCGGCTCCACAGAACCAGTGCTCAGCCCTGCCTTTGGCATTTGAGAAAAGAAAGAAATTGTCGTGTTGCCCCGCTTTGAAGGCGGGGGCCTCAGAAAACTCGCGGGAGAGCCCTCGACCGGGAACATGAAATCTAGGAAGTTGGCATTGGGCTGTCATGCAATTCGGATGGCGCCCTCTGCGCACGTAACCGTTTCTGGCACCTCAGAACCCGTTCTCCTACATATGCCATCCTGCTCCACCCAGGCATACAAGTAGTACATTTCAGGAAAAGAGACGCTAGTAGACCCTTAAAACAGGGATCCCTACATGAGGTACTCGGCACCCCTTATTTCAGAACCCCCTCAATCTCGTTGTTGCCCATGTCTTTCGAAGCTTCGGGAAAGTACAGTGAAACACAAGATCACAAAACTGCATGGCATGATAGATGACAGAATCTGGTAGAAAAGCACAGCA